GTGGACCCCAATTACTTAGGTTCATCAAGACTTTTTCCAGTTTTTGGGTCCTTCAATTACCAGAGGCAATGTAGCACGAGGTGAGTAACTGATATACAAGTGGTCATGTAGGAGGGTGAAGTATTCCTTTAATATTCACTTTATGTTGAAACCATTTTAAAGAGATTGTTATCTGTGGTGCTACTTCTTGTTCAGAGGCATGAAATTATATACAGATTGTAAAATCAATTTTTTGAAGAATTGAATGCCCTTTTTTTTTTTTGCAAAGTGCACAAATGCTAAAAATAATCAGATCTTATTCTTGTTGTCTCTCTGAATACCATTAAATGTAAAAAGCAGTGAATCAAAGGGCTACTATGGAAACAGCTAAAAGCCAAAATGCATTCTGGCTCTCTGTCTCCACATTTATCCTGAAACCCTGCTCACCACAATGATGCCTTTGGATTCCATGTCCAAGAATATCCTAAAGGCTTTATTAATCCATGTGTGTCACAGCTTATGTCAGTACAGGTGACCTGTTACGCATCATTTGTTCTTTTTTCTCCTAACCCCGTTTCTCTGTGCAGTCTGTAACAGGGTCACAGACCAGTCGCTGACCTATTTCAAGCGCTGTGGGAGCATATGTCACATCGATCTGCGATACTGCAAACAGGTGACCAAGGAAGGATGCGACCAGTTCATCGCAGAAATGTCTGTGAGCGTGCAGTTTGAACTGATAGAGGAGAAACTGCTGCAGAAGATCAGTTAGGAACAGACTGTGTGACACTCACACGTGGTAAAACTACTGTCCACATGGAGGCAGCAGACGACTGTGTGCTCGTGGAGAACGTCGCTGTGTTTCATGAATACCAGCAGACGCCTGAACAGACACGAGGACGCCTCTGTCTCTGATGTAAAGGGAAGCTGTGCTGCTAAGCAAGAATGTAAAAAATGGAAATCTTGTCCTGTGAAGGCAATATTGCAAAAATGTTTCTGTTGTTGTTTGCACCAGTTTATAAGTTATTTATTTCTTTATATTGATTGTTTATGTATTGTACCATGGTCTATCTTTTGGTGTTTATAGAATATTTTTTGTTCCAATGCAAAGTTTATCGCATTATAGAGTAATATTTTTGTATCAGAAAGTGTTTCATACATTTATGTGCAGTATTGATTGCACCACTGTACAGTATCATACCATTGGAATTGATAATCAATCGGCATTACTTTTACGCTCTTTATTGTTGAGAGGCAAAGGTCTAAAGATTTGTTGCCAAACCGTAGGATGGTAGCTTGTGTTTGTGTGGGTGTTTTTTATATTTTATTATAAACGTCAGCTCCCTGTGTCTGATTGGACAAAGGTACTGTACATTTTGTTCTCCATATAACGATACCATTTGCACTGATACAGTAAATATGAATACATGAATGTATTCACACATACACTACACAGTGTACAAAGCGTATTTTTCCAACACTAAAATGTTCCGCTAATTCTACTAACAGCTTCTAGGGTTATATTAAGACATAGCTGCATACGAAACGTCTCTGCCAGTCTCCATCACTCTTTAGTATTATTGGTGCTTTGTGAAAGGAAGCGTTTTAGCTCTGCATGCGGCAAAGAAACATGTTTACACCACAGTCAATAGATTTAGTAACTGTGAAACAATATAACCATGTGTTTACTCCTGTCATTAGCTGAACTCCATATGATAAAAAAATGACTCAGTGCTGAATCATGCAAGAAATAAAAGAACCAACAGAGTCCAGGTAAAGATTTTAAATTTGCACCAATCTTTCAGATGAGTTTTCTCCCATTTGACAGATGTGACATGTGTCACTCAGGTTTAACAGGCCAAGAGGCTAAAAGAAATGTATGCTGTATATTGCAAAATTCTCATTAACCCAGACATTTGGTTACAGCACAGTGGGCAGTGTAGTGCTCTGTTTCCAAGGGCAGAGATGAATATATCTTTTTCAAGATATAAAACCCATATCAGTAAACCAATCCAATAAATCTGTCAATCTCCAGACGTTGGCTTCTGAGCACATGGTCGAGAAACGCAATTATAAGATAGTGTTGTAAGACAGTGTTTTTCAAATGTGCCATGTGGTTTAGCCTCTGCCATTTGAAGAAGCTGCAAAAACATCTTGAAAGATTTGCAGCAAAAATGGATTTTGTTTGTTCTTTTCCGAGCAAGAGATTCCACTGCAGTAGACATTCATTAACACTGGTTGTTTTCTTTAAAAATCATTTAATTTTTTTAAATTTGTTTTTAGTTAAACGTCTAACGACAAAGTACTTTGCAACCTGTGGCATCAGTCAGTAGCATTTTCATGTAAGTGTTGTTGTTAGACATTTATTCATCATAATATTTAAAGTTATATAAAAAAAATTTTGCTATTGGAACTTGTCTAATAAATGTCAGACTTGACAGTTTAATAATTTGATAGGTTTGCATTTCTTTTTGGAAACTAAACTTTTTTAAAGATAAAGTCTTTGTGAAACTTTTGAATAGCACTTGGTACAGTTCAGTGGATGGGTTTACGTTTACTTTTATTTACTTTTGTTTTTTTATTAAACCACCATGTCTCCATAAAATGTTTTAGTACATGACTGTAAATGTTCAATCTGTACATACTGTATATGTAAAGCCTCTAGGAAAAGTTAAGTCAACCTTTGAGATATTAAATTCATTTTAAATACTGAGCTGTGTACGTGCGTTTGGTCCGTTAGATTTTTTAAGCATTTAGAATAAATAAGAAACATGATTATATGTTGATACTGTAATCTTGCTGTTATTAGATTTGTATTATTATTTAGGACTGAAAATTAAGTGTATGCCAACCTTTTAAGGTGGCTGTAGATGAACAACATTATGCTTTAAGTTCACCCCAATATATTTCTCCTCTTACCTGTAGTGCTATATACAGTGCTTTCAGAAAATACTCAGACCCCCTTCACTTCTGTCACTTTGTTATGTTGCAGCCTGATGCTACATCATTCAATTTTTTTTTTTCATATTAATCTACACACACTAGCCCATAATGACAAAGTGGAAATAGAATTTTAGAATTTTTTTACAAATTTATTAAAAAGGGAAAAACTGAAATATCACATTGGCATAAGTATTCAGACCCTTTGCAACAACACCTGAAATTCCACTCAGGTGCCTCTCATTCCCCTTGATCATTGCTGAGATGTTTCTACACCTTGATTGGAGTCCACCTCTGGCAAATCAAACTGATTGGACATGATTTGGAAAGGCACACACCTCTCTATATAAAGGCCTCACAGGTGACAATGCATATCAGAGCAAAAACCAAGCCATGAGGTCAAAGGAACTGCCTGCAGAGCTCAGAGACAGGATTGTTGCAGGGCACAAATCTGGGGAAGGCGACAAGAACATTTCTGCTGAGAGCACAGTGGCCTCCATAATTCTTAAATGGAAGGCGTTTGGCACAACCAGGACTCTACCAAGAGCTGGTCGCCCGGCGAAACTGAGCAATCGAGGGAGAAGGGCTTTAGTGAGAGAGGTGACCAAGAACCTGATGGCCACTCTGACTGAGCTCCAGAGATCCTGTGTGGAGATGGGACAAAGTTCCAGAAGGACAACCATCACTGCAGTGCAAAACACATGAAAGCCCGCTTGGAGTTTGCAAAGAAGCATCTGAAGAACTCTCAGACTGTGAGAAACAAGATTCTCTGGTCTGATGAAACCAAAATTGAACTGTTTGGGAGGAAACCAGGCACAGCTCATCGCCTGCCCAATATCATCTCAACAGTGAAACATGGTGGTGGCAGCATCAACAGCATCACAGCATAAACTCTGTGAATGTTCTGGAGTGGCCCAGACAAAGCCCTGACTTGAACCCTATCGAACATCTCTGGAGAGACCTGAACACGGCTGTCCACCGATGGTCCCCATCCAACCTGACTGGGCTTGAGAGGATTTGCAAAGAAGAATGGCAGAAAATCCCCCACTGAAGGTGTGCAAAGCTTGTTGCGTCATACCTAAAAAAGGCTCGAGATTGTAATTGCCGCCAAAGGTGCTTCAACAAGTACTGAGTAAAGGGTCAGAATACTTATGCCAATGTGACATTTCAGTGTTTCCTTTTTCATAAATTTGCAAACCTCACTTTGTCATTATGGGGTACTGTGTGTAGATTGTGAAAAAAATAATAATTTAAATGATTGTAGCATCAGGCTGCAACATCACAATTTGACCAAAGTGAAGGGGATCTGAATATTTTCTGAATGCACTGTATCAATCTAGATTGTTTTGGTGTGAGTTGCAGAGTGTTGGAGATATCTGTCGTAGAGATGTCTGCCGTCTCTCAAATATAATGGAACTAGATGGCACTCGGCTTGTGGTGCTCCAAGTGCCAAAAAAATTACATTTGAAAACTCAACAGCAATGTCTCTTTCCAGAAATCATGACCCGGATACTCAAGATAATCCACAGACTGAACCACAACCACCAGCCGTACCACTGTGCAGAAGGAAGAGTGCATCTACTCATAGATGAGAGGCTCGTACTAATGACAGCGCGAGATGTGAACATCAATGGCTTCCTCCTTGGCTGAGCTGTAACATTAGCTAGCTCAGTGGTGCTAGGTGAGCTAACAGTAGATGTAAGCTTTCTTCTGCGTGGTGACACAGTTGGAGAGTGTAGTTTGGTAGAAAGAAAATAGTTCCTATATGAAACTGCTCATAACAAGGTCTGTAGATTATCTTGAGTAACTGGGTCATGATTCTGTAAAGAGACATAGCTGTTGAGTTTTTCAAATGTATTTTTTGGAGCTTTGAGCACCACAAGCCAAGTGCCATCTAGTTGCATTATATTCAAGAGAAGGCAGACATCTTTACGGCCGATATCTCCAACACTCGGCAACTCACACTAAAACAATCTAGACTGATAAATAGCACCACAGGTAAGAGGCAAAATATGGACTTTTGATTTTGGGGTGAACTGTCCCTTTAATGAGCGATTACAAAATGAAGAGCAGGGTTTTACGTCTGTGGTTTGTAGTACTGCATTTTATTGAATCTAATAAATTATCTTCTCTTGTTTACCAAAATAAAAAGGTTCAACATTCCATAATATAAAGATCCAGGATTATGAGTGCTCATGATGACCTCCTACTCTGATAATACTGTAGCTGCCCATGAATGACATCTTTGAGAAACAGCAGCATCAACAAACAGACTTACAGAGTTACAGCGTTGGTTACAGTGCATGGTGTCAGTGTCGGTTTTGGATCCGAAGCAGACGATGACAAAGAGCGCTAGAAAGCGAGAACATGACTGACGCAACTTTAATGGTGAGAGAGTGACACGATCAGAGGGCTGAGGAACTCTTCTGACCAAAACCAGCAGAGATACATTCTGAAAAACAGTATATTTTATTTTATTAGCTATAACTTTAAATCATGTCGTCTCCCAAGTAAATGGAAAAATATACATTTAATGACTTATCAGTAAACAACAATATAAGCTATGCGATTCACATAACAGCAAGTCAGCTTCTTCTTTTTTTTTTTTTTAACATACCACAGGCATACTGTACACACAGATTAGTGACATCTGAATTAACTGCATCTCATGACAAGAAAAAAAAAGTGTTTCTTTGCATAACAGGTTAAAGTAAACCGGGCTTCCTCTACGTCTCACTGTGTGATGGATATTTGGAAGGACGCCTTGACAACATGACAACAGGTATGTTGATGTTACACTCAGAAAAGAGGAAGTAGCACCTGTCACCTAAGATTCGACACATTAACGGACAACACAATCAAAGAAAGACACTTGGTAGACTTGGAAACTGAATGGTATTGCTTGGTGGCAGTTTTTAAAAGGGTATGTTTGTTATTTTTTTTCAACCTGGACCTTTTTTTCCCCTTGTTTTTGTGTTTAAGTAACTGAAGGAAACAACAGTTTTTTAAATTGTTACAGTACTGAGCAAAAGTGCTGCAGACAAAGGCAGAAAAACAGGCTGCAATGTAACCCTTCGGGGCATTAGTGCACTGTCAATCCACTTAAAGTGCTTGTGTTTGCCAGTAACAGGCTCAGATTATTATTTTAAGCATTTAAAACTTAAAGAAAGTATCTCCACAGAGACAGACCTTTTTAATTAAGTGTAACATCTTTTTTGCTGAGCCAGAAACAGCCCCGAAAAAGCTATTTTAAGTAAACAGTAATTTTATCATCGTAAAACCCCACTTTATACAAAGTCGACAGAAAGCAATAAAACTCACAAAAATTAACTTAGTTCATCTTTCTGCTGTTCCAACAATCACCAACTCTTTATTCACTCAGTCAGATGGGAAAATGTGCTGGCTCCAAACACGCTAAAATCACTGTTTATTTGAATGGAGTCTGGTGGAATTGGCGATGGTGATTTTGGGGCTGTTTCTGGTTAAACAAAGAAGATTTTATTCTTTAACACAACGTCTATCTCTGTAGGGTCCTTTCCATAATACTGTCAGACACTTTGAATAATAATCTGAGCCCGTCAGCAGAAAAAACAAGCACTTTTAGTGGACATATGCCGCAAACATGCCCTGAGTGATTGCTGCAGCTCTCCCACTCAATACTGGACCAATTTAAAGAACTGTTGTTTCCATTTGTCATTTAGATACAAAAACATGGGAAATAGAATCTAGGTTGAAAAATATCGAACTTATCCTCTAAAATTAAAGAGGGGTGAGTCTTCAAAATGTAGATAAAAATAGTACAAAAAATCTTCACTCAAGGTCCACTTATGAGCTTTTTCTTATCTTGTGGTCTTCCTAATGAAGCCCGTGAACTTTGAAAGCCCAGGAAAAAGCTAGCAAGGGGGCCTTGAGTTCAGATTTTAATAAATAAATCAGTGTAACAGGAATGTAGTGCAGCACGTGGTGTGACCAAGCAGCGTTTTTTAACATTTGTGTCTTCGGCAGAAATCACATCTGTGCATTTAAAGTAATAATCTCGAAGATTTTCTTTTAAATAAATGCTTTGTTAAGTCACTGAATGAGGTAACACAATGGTGACTGAGCCTATGACTCACTGATAAAAGTATTGCAATATTTATATATTTGCAGTATCACAAACTGGGTGTTAAGGGACACATTCGCAGAATAAATGCTGTATTACGTCACTGCTAATGCAAACTGAACATTTCCTACAGCTGCAGCTTCACATTAAAAACCATTAACTGGCAAAATACAAGTTGACTTTTATTATGAAGGGGTCACAGGAAATGCAAGATGTTTTTCAGTGAGATTAATACTGACTGCTAAGGAAGCTGAGCTGTTAGATGATGAGCTGCAGGTGACTGCACACCTCCAACTTAGCAAGGTAAACAACTCCTTTTACTGTGCCCTGCTATCCACAGACTAATGCTGTGTGCAACGTATTGAGTGTTCTTCAAAATAAGACCACATAGGTTGTTTGCACAAGCAGCATTTATGACCCATATCTAAGTTTATTGTTAGGCGGTGACTTCTTGTGGTAGTAGTATTTATAACAGGGGCAAAAAAGGAAGACATATGACGTAAAATAAATAGCAGCAGAGTCCACCGAGTGTGTTAGGAAGGTGTGGTCAAACAAACACAGGACTGTCATCTAGAATACCGGTGTTCATGTCCCACATGAGACCAAAAGTTAACAAAGTATGTCACATGACATATGTGACATCTGTCACTTGAGATATTTCACATTACACTGAATATCTATAAAGAGATATCTACATACGAATGCACAATCTGTGGGCAACAAGACAAGATTTTAGTATCGGATGTGTTCGGGTTTCTCATTGTAGTCTGAGTAGCATTGAACAATCACGCTTGAGCAGCAGGTAAACAGTCCAAGTGGAGAGGCAGAAAGCATCGGCTGAAAGCCATGTTGGAAACCATTGATTATCGTCTGACAATGACGTAGCTATATAGGCTTTTTTACTTATTCATTTGCATTTATAGGCAGATAACTGTATCGAGATCAGACAAAATGGCCGGCGCACAGAAGAAGTCGTCTTGGCCCTGACAGGCGCTTGCTACACTGGATCTTCCGAAATATTGGCCATTGCCCCAAGGGGCTTCTCGTCGTCAGACCGATAGTTGAAGGGTTCTGAGATGGCATTATATTATTAACAAACTTACTATGAAACTTATACCAAATCAACCGAGGAGTTTTGGTGCAGCTGGGACCATTTCACAACCTTAACCATGTGTTTAAAACTACAACTGTTAATGGTCATATACGAGTTATTCCATTGTCTGGTAGAGGTGCTACTTTAGAAAACACTCCTGTCGGTCATATTAGACATACAATGTGGTCGTATGGGTCGGAGGACTCAGATCAGATCGCAGTTGCTCACAGAATGATGAAAAGAGCCCAGTTATTACCTGACTTCTTTATCAAAATAATAATAATTTGTCTTGCTGCCCCCAAAAACTCTGCAACCTGCAGTATTAAGTACATATGTGCCAAATCAACCAGGACTGAAATCTTCGAGATTGCCACTTTAATTTTAGATGCGGAAACAATCACATCCTTCACTCAGCCAAGTGTTCAAATGTTTACTTCTATACACTTTATTTCCTAAAATTCATAAAAGAAAAAAAAGAGTAAACTATCACACCAAGCTTGCTGGTTATGAGATTCATATACGGTGAAATCTTAACCAAATATCGTTTAAAAGGCATGACGTTTGGCACCATGTGTGAGATGACCCGGTGCGTGTGGTGTTCGGATTAACAAATAGACATTTGATAAAAACACATGTAAGTCTCTTTTTTTCTGATATTGCACATCCTAAAGGAACACTGAGGGAGATAACACGGCGTCATGTGGCATGACTGTGTAAACCATATTGACTCTAACCCTGGGATCTTATATTTTCCCTGCTTCTCCTCGCCACACAGAACAACCCAATCTGCTTCAAGTATCCACGCGACCACTTCCTCTCCCCCCTGTGCCTCTCCTGTGAGTAAAATCTAAACAGAGAATAGAGAGTAGAAAGTGATGGCAGGGGTTTCTGCTGTGTGTTTAACAGACCAAAGAGAGAAAGAGTGAGTGTCCCAGTGCAGCTGTTGACAGTCCACCAGGGAGGAGAAGTGGGGCTGGAACATGAGTTAGTAAGGGGGGGGAAACAAACCGTGGTATGCCAGAGGCAACAGTCTGGTTTCAAGAACCGGGAGGTTGCTGGCGCCTGCTGCAGCATTAGGCCCTGCGAGACGTCATGTACAGCAGTTCATCCTCAGTGATAAATTCAGGGCTCGGACCACGTGCACGCCTGAGGGCCGCTCTGATGCACACACAGAGTTTTAAGACTTGAAGACGTGCACGGCCCGCACTACGTACTGCCTGCAGATGGGGCACTCGCTCATTCTCTTCCCACATTTGGTGCAGGTTACCATGTGACCACATTCCAGCAGCACACAGTCGATGATGGCGTCCATGCAGATGCGACACAAGTTTTCATCAGCCGCCAGCTGAGCTCTGACACCATCTGTGGATGGAAAAAAAAGTTTTTTGTCAGTCGCGATCGTTCTCTGCAGGCTCATTAAATGGTGTGAAGTTTAGTGATGTGCAGATGCTGTACAGCTGCTTCTGTCTGAGAATCAACATAACCACATGATTCACAACTGTCTGGTCATTAGCAGAAGTTCCTCTCCCCTATTTCCCTAAACTCCAGTTGGTTTGTAGCTGGTATTTAGTATCACAGTCTGGTAATGACATGTTTCATCCCAACAGTTGCACACTCAAGAGAGTTTTCATGGGGGATGGCCAGATGGAGCTGAAAATCCTGGGGTGGCACACCAAAACCAAAAGTCATCACTGAATTTCAGCAATTGTATCAGGGGTCCAAAATTGCTTTTGCTTTGTTCACAACTTGCACATGTGAAGTGTCACTTTAAAATGACCTAAAACACTGTAGATAATTTCAACTGGTTGTCACAGCTGTATGTGTTCTGTACTGCTGTCCCTTTTCCCTCCCTCATACCTGCCCAGGTGTGCTGCATTAGTTAACGATGTGCAGCACACCTGGCATGGAGGAGGTGGTTAAGAGCTCCTATGCCAGCAGCAGAGGAGAGAGGCCTCTGACACAGCATCAAGCGAATATTTCACTCGAGTTCAAGAGGCCGTTTAAACGTACACGGTGATTTTGATAAACGGAGACATCTTCCTTCGTTTGTGCCCTTCTTTTACACGCAAACGGAGATTTCTCCTCTGAAAACGAGTCTTTCTAAAAACTCCAGCCAGAGTGGAGATTTTGGAAAACTCCGGTTGCGCGTTTGCATGTAAACTGAGATAAACGGAGATAAGCGGAGTTATAGGCAGTCGACGTCACAGTATGCACTGGAACTTGCGCCTGTGTCAAAAGTGCGACCTATGTTGCTATGGTGACAATGGATACATGGAAGGCTTGAGCTTCTCGTTACACTGCCACCTACAGGTTTGGCATGCTCTTGTGTATATATACACGGGTAAGTGTAAACGAAGATCTTTTTGAAAACGAAGATGGTGAAATGTCCGTTTATGAAAATAGCCGGCGACGTGTAAACGGCCTCCAATATTTTGAACTTGCGCGAAGAGGTGAATGACGCGAATTTCGCGTGTTCACTCCATTTGCGTGATTTGCATCGTGCCATTCGCGCCGCCGGCACAAATTTGCGTCTATTCGCGTCTTTACATTGACTTTGTATGTAATCTTATCGCGTGAAAAATTCGCCTCACGCCCAGTGTGAACATACTGTAACACTGGCCCAAAATAACCACATAAACACCTTTAAAACACTCAAATCCATGGGATTTATTAGAATGGAAACAAGCAAACAAGACAAAAAAAGAGAGGGCAGCAGTCCTCACACCAGAGGCCTCTGCTGCTGGCACAGGAGCATTTAACCACCTCCTTCATGCCTGGTGTGCTGCACCTCGTTAACTAATGCAGCACACCTGGGCAGGTCTACGAGGGAGGGAAAAGGGACATCAGCACAGAACACATACAGCCGTAACACTGGTGAAGTTGTAGTAACACCATTAAGGTAGTTACTGTATGTTGATCTTAGCCCCACTGAGAGGCCGTTTACACGTGGCCGGCTATTTTCATAAACGGACATTTCACCGTCTCTGTTTTCAAAAAGATCTTTGTTTACACTTACCCGTGTATATATACACAAGAGCATGCCAAACCTGTAGGTGGCAGTGTAACGAGAAGCTCAAGCCTTCCATGTATCCATTGTCACCATAGCAACATAGGTCGCACTTTTGACACAGGCGCAAGTTCCAGTGCATACTGTGACGTCGACTGCCTATAACTCCGTTTATCTCCTTTTATCTCAGTTTACATGCAAACGCGCAACCGGAGTTTTCCAAAATCTCCACTCTGGCTGGAGTTTTTAGAAAGACTCGTTTTCAGAGGAGAAATCTCCGTTTGTGTGTAAACGAAGGGCAAAACGAAGGAAGATGCCTCCGTTTATCAAAATCACCGTGTACGTGTAAACGGCCTCTTAACCACCTCCTTCATGCCTGGTGTGCTGCACCTTGTTAACTAATGCAGCACACCTGGGCAGGTCTACAAGGGAGGGAAAAGGGACAGCAGCACAGAACACATACAGCTGTAACACTGGTGAAGTTGCAGTAACACCATTAAGGTAGTTACTGTATGTTGATCTTAGCCCCACTGACAATGAATAGAAATCAAGCCCAAGGTAACTGCAGTAAGGCCTATTGTGGAACTGTGGTAGGTAAATCATCATATATTATTTTCAGCCCAAACAGAGAATAAATTAAAAATTAAATGATTTAATCCTGTTGTAAAAAATCATTGTACAGTGGGAATATTAATTGCAGACATTGCAGTGTCAGACATGCCACTAGATGGGAAGAAATGCCTGGATATACTTTGGAGTATTTAGAGGAAGAAAAGAGAATTTTTGGACAATAATTGCAATAAAGAATAAAGATATTTGTCCTCTACCTCCAGTGAGGTGGACTGGCAATTTGCAATTGCCGGTATGTTAAATGTTCCTAATAACCGACCTGTTTCTTTAATTGTAGTTAGATGTTAGCAAGTCACACAAAGCCAGACCATCACAATTATGCACTAGTGGTAAACTAGAATTACTGCCTTGTAGATGTATGCCTCTGGGCACCAGTCAAGTTGCATTCACCGCAACTTACTGGCCCCCCAGCAGCACAGAAGATCTATACACTCATCACAGTTTCATGGTGGACACCAAAGATTAGCGTCACCAATTCAGTATCTGACCAAATGTCTTTTCTTCTGTTCCTGAGATATGACATTGAGTAATGGCCAGAAAAATGTTTTTGCAGAACAATATGTCACAATGAGGATGACCTTTGACCTTTTGGATATAAAATGTCATCACTCCATCATTTTATCCCATTACACATTTGTATGAAATTTTGTCATAATTAGCATATGAATTCTTAAGTTATGTCTGCAAACATGTTTTGTGAGGTCATGGTGACTTTGGCCTTTGACCTTCAAACACCAAAATCAAATCAATTAATCAGTGCTGAGTCCAAGTGAACGTTTGTACCAAATTTGAGGAAACTCCTTTAAGGCTTTCTTGCGATATTGCATTCACAAGAATGAGACGGATGCAAGGTCACAGTAATCTTGACCTTTAACCACCAAAATATAATCAATTCATTTAGTCCCTGTGGATGTTTGAGCCAAATTTGGGGAAATCCCTTAGGGCATTCTTGAGATATCGTATTTACAAGAATGAGACGTATGCAAGGGCCCATTGACCTTTGACCAATAAAATCCAATCAGTTCATTGAATCTAAAGGAATGTTTGTGCCAAATATGAAGAAATGATGTCAGTGCAGTGCTTTACAGGAGTTAAATGTCTGATAGCTGACTGAAAGCTCACTGGCCTATATCTGGCTCCTGCTGCTCACATCTTGTATGACGGGGAAAAAGCCAATCAAGCCACAGCCTGTCTGCTGTCCCTACATGTCTGACTATTAAGTGGGCTAATATGATCCTCAAGCCCTTTATGTCAACAAGAGAGCCTCTAGGAAGCTCAACAATGTAATTACACCTGATGGAGACATGCTGCTACTAAAGTAACATGATGGCTCATCAAGAGGTAAAAGCTCTTAGAGAGTGCATTAACGACAGGATGAGAGGCTGTCCTTCAGAATGAAATGAGATGATGCACTCTGGAGAAGAAACACGAGTGACAGAACGTGGAGACACTGAATCAAATGGGGCATAATGACTCCAGTGACCATAATGTGATAATATGGAGGATGACACAAAGGATCAAGTGGGCAGAAATGTGGCAGCATGCCTTTACTGTTTTCAGACAATCGATGTGATGTACAATGTGGTCATGGAGAAGATGAAAGAGGTGCTGTGAAGTGGCTTTTTATAAAAACATCTTACCTCCAACTCCACTGTTGCAGAGAGGTGGAGGATATGCAACCACTTTATAGATAAACATGAGCAGTAATAAAGAAAATATATTAGTTCAGGAAACACTGAAGTTACCTTTTAATGTAAAACAATCGGCTTTCAACACTGAAATCACATCACCTGAGGGAGCTAAGTGCATGTAGATTTAATATGTTAATATTAGTGTTCACATTGAAACCTGGGAAATATGATTTAAAAAAAAAAACAATAGTTACCTGCAGTTATGCTCACATTTTCCACTAAAAGAAAAGGAGAACAAGTTTATTTTAAACATACAGAACACTGAAGGTCAAAATGTGAAATTTAGATGCAAAAAGATAAAGCAGAATTCGTACTGGATTTCCTGTTCTGCTCATTTTCTCTGTAGAGTCGATGCACTCGCTCCAGCAGTTCCCACTTCTCGCAGCAGCCGGAGTAATTGACAAAGTTCCTGGCGAGAATCTCTTTCAGCTGGCGCACGGAGAGGTTTTCTATCGCCTCTTCATTGTCCAGATCAGACAGCGAGGCCCTGATCCTCCTCTGTGTCGCCGGACTGACCTACAATTCACACGGGGAAGCAGAGCTGCGGTCAATAACACAGTCTGCATTCCCTGAAAGCCTTGTCAGTCCAATACTGTTTAGCGTCTATTGTGAATGTGCCAAAAAAAAACAAGTGTTGTACCTCCATGAAATTTTCAGTGGGCTCCAGGTTCAAGAGAGATGCTGTTGGAGTATCTTCCTGCTCCTGTTTGAGTAGAAAACAACACACTGAAGTTAATTTAAACTAGTTTAAAGGATCTCTATAAGACATTCAAAGCATTGAAGGAGCAGTGTGTAGGGTTTAGTGGCATCTAGTGGTGAGGACAGCAGATTGCAACCAGCTGAAACTTCTATGTGCCTATGTGAACTCCCAGTTAGGATTCCTTCAGTGTTCATTGCTCAGGAGGTTTTCTGAGCTGAACTCTAGTGATTAAAACCAGTAAAAACACTGAATAAATCAGTTTCATGTCAAGAAAGTCAGTGATTTTCCAACCTTGCTCATTGCAGAGAGGCTGCTAACTATGGTGGCTGATGCAAGAATGCGAATGGTCCTATTGAGAGCCAGCGTTTGGTTTGTCTGTCCTGGGCTACTGTAGAAACATTGCAGTGCAACATGGCGGTCTCCATGGACAAAGACCCGCTCTCTATGTAGACAGAAATGACTCATCGCATACATGTTTCTGCACATGAGCCCCTGCACTGTGCTCATACGGCAGTTACTGCCGATGATGAGACGGCATCATCAAGGCCACCGCCCCAGGTTAACACTGTTAGCCCTGTTAGCACCGTTGCAGTTGTTGGCGCTGGTAATGAGCCAATGTATTAATGTATTTTCAATTTGTGATGCACTCTGAGCCAATCAGAGAGGACTCTGAGGGTGGGGAAAAGAATCAAGTTCAGCAGAGAGACGATATCGAGAAGCACGTGACGGAGGGAGAGCAGTGTGTGGATATTCGGAAAAAGACGCAACTTAAACGTCGAGGTGGACAATATTTGCAGACGAAAACACTTGTTTGTGTTGGTGCAAGTATTACTTTGCAGCTTAATTTCCTGCATGTTGTGATTTTGTTCTTGGGTTTTGCTCCAGTTTGAAGTGACAGCTCAGTCAGGTTAGACACGTTTGTTGTTTTCATTAAATTTGAAACAAAATGTAGGCGCCATTTTCATCGCAAACAGAGGAGAAAGTTTTTTCATTGTCTCTGGGGAATACAGGTACAGCTCATAGTGTATGAGACTAGTAATCCCACAGTGGAAGCACCGCATTATTATCCATTAGTCATTCACCGTAGATTGCTACTTCACATATCCTTTGGTTATCATCTGTTCTATCTTGTTTACTGTTTTCTCTTAAGTCCGATTCACATTTAATTTGGTAAACTGGAAATTTAGCCTCAACATGAACTGTGAAGAACTCAGGATCCTGTTTATTGAGGATTGAAATAGTAGCCCATCCTAACATTTAGCGTATTTGGCAACAGAGGGTTACACGTGCTACCCAGCAGCTCAGTCACCTCCATGTTGAAAGCTGTGTGCAGACAACCTCTGAATCATAGATACGCTCTGAACATGAAATAGGCCAATCACTGAGTTTAATGCTTCAATAAGAATTTAAAGGAGCTCAATTAAAACAAAATGCTTTTATGATTTATATCAAATCCCTCCACTTCAAATGTGCTGTTTGAACAAAATGAAAGCAGCACAAGAGTCAGAGTTGAATGAAGTGTAAAAATATGACACTGAACTGTGTTATTTAAATGGATGTGAATTATATGACTATCAATGCCATGGTGAAAAATACTTCACAGCTCGCTGCGTTCTAATTCTGTAAATTGGAACGGTTCAGATATCTAATGAAAGAACAGAAATGTTTAAATAGTGGCTCGGCTTCTCTTTACTCAGCGGTTCATTATTCTCTTTGAAGGTGGAGGTCGGGAATCTGCCGGATGATAGGAGAGCAAATGAAGCTGCAGAAAAGTGCAGACACTGTTTGGTGTGAGTGCACAGCTCTGTTTTATCTCAGCCATTTATGTGCTTTGAAGAGAAGATATCGTCTCTTTATTCTTTTATCTGCCTGACAAAAGAGAGCATGTGAAGGGCTGAAATAAGCTGTAAGTGTGTGATATCACGCTGGAGTGCGGTCGCTGTTTCTGTATGGTTAAAAAACAGGAAAAACCTCTGCCTCCCTGGGCTTTGGCACATTCCAGCAGCAGGCCAATCATCTTCCTCCAACGAAGATGTGTTAATAATGTATCCATCAGCGTCTTGGTGAGAGATGCCTGCCCTCAACATCATGCTTTTGCACAGGCTAGACTCCTCAGAGACAAAAACACGAGCAGCAGCCCCGACGCAAGCCAAGTGCCAAACCTCTCCGGAGCACAAAGATTCTTTGACTTGATGTTAGATCTCATTCAACCGTTTCAAACATGTGAAAGTACTAGAAAGCTCCCAGAGAGCGCATACTTCTGTCGAGGCTGCACAAGCTGCTAAATTTGTCATTTTAAGAATAGAAAATGTTGAGAAATCTTACGTCTGCATCAAAATACACATGGTGAGACAAGATTGGGTTAGATGTAGGGGAGAGCGGGGTCAGTTGGGACACTTTTGTATTGACTAAAAATAACCTTCTACTACTCACAGACTACTTTAACAGTAGTGCCAATAATTTGATCCCTGGATAGATACAAGCGTCTGCTATTAATTTCTCAAGTTTTTTTTTTTTTTAAAAAAAAGGTACAATTGTGTTTAATGTACCAGGATTGCATTTTTCCAAATACTCCCTCCCTGGGATGGTCACATTAGTGGGTAGGGCTGGGTGGGACACTTAAGACAGTCTCCACATTGAGGTTGAAAGCAAAGAGGGTGTTGCTGTGTATGAGTATGTTAAATAGCACAGGCATAGTTGCTTTCTGTCATGCTAAAAGGCATTGTCACAATTGTCTCCCTGCCCCAAATGACCCCGCTCTCCCCTACTAGATTTCCTTCCTTTCATTGCAACAGTTAATGAGGAAACCAAACCAAATATCACTGAAGTCTGTTGCCATATTTGTGAGAAAAAAATGGCACCAAAATTCGGTATATTTAGCATTTATAATTTACATAGTGGTATAAATGTTCTACATATTTAAAGTCTTTGTAAATGACAGAACACTGATAAAAAGTTAAATCAACCTGCTGATTTTTGCATTAAGATGTTTCCTACAGGCCGTCACAGTGCCGTAGTGCTAACTATTACTTCAAGTAGCAAACTGGCAATTGATCTGAAATGTGGAGTTAGGTGAATCTTGCAAACGTGTTTATTTCTGTTGTCATTTTCAGCCATAACTGTAAGACGCACAGTTAAATACAGTGATGCCACCTATCTGACGTTCCTGTTGTGCTTGTATTATATACCGTGTTGCTTTAGTTACCATCTTTGACCAATCAAATCTACTGGAATGGAAGCGATTCAACGAACAACTGTGGACAGAGGCCGCAGCAAAACATATTTTAGCCACCTAAAAAGACCTACCTAAAAAAAATCAATGTCAGTTTAAGTGTAAACTATATCACTGCTTTATCTCACACTCCCGCACCTGTGACCACATCACCCCCATCTTTCATAATCTCCACTGGCTCCCCATCCCCCAGCATATTCACTTCAAACTCCTCATCATCACTTACAAAGCTCTCCACAACCTGGCTCCCCCCTACCTGTCTGAGCTCCTCCACCAGCACTCTTAGGTCTGCTGATGCCAACCTCCCTTTTTTTGATTAATGTTGTTGCTCTCTGTAAAGCGTCTTTGAGTATCCTGAAAAGCGCTATATAAATCCAATGTATTATTATCATTATTATTATTACATACTAACTGACTGAGGCAGCAGAAGACCAGTAACTCCAGCCTTTTGTGAAGTAAAATGTTTTTGTCAGTGGAGTCTGGTGGCTTGAAGGCTCCTCTGACGGCCAAGTGAAGCGGTGAAAATCTTTTATGTTATCTTTGATTATAATATGATATTGATTTCTTTTAGGTCGGCCTTTATTCAGGCGGCTAAAAACCAACTCATTGAGGCAGTGTTTGCTCAGGGCCGTCTTATTTCATGTATGTGACATAGCGGTTTCCACCGCTTTGTTATTGTGCACAAACATCATGATTTAGTCTCTACACTACAGAAATGACAGATCAATGGAGTCTTATCTTATTTCAGGATGATTAAGGATGACAAACTTGTCAATCCCAATTTGCATTAGGATTAAACCTGTTTCAAGGTAACTGATTGAAATTCGTCCCGGTTTGATGTTTAATCTATTTTTCCGCTGGAGCTGATGAGAAAGAAATCAAGAAAACTGATTGTACTGTCGCCACACCAAAATCTATTTCAGAGGAAACTAGAAGGCACTGGTTATTTCAAGAAGCTATCTGCAACAGAAATAACACTGCATGTTGTTGAATTAGTTAAACGTAGTCTTCGCTGCACAAAAGATAAGTGGGATAATCTTATATCTTAATGCGTTTGTGAAGGTGTTTTTTCCCAGTGTATATCTACACATTTACCTCAAAACACATAAAGCACTAGAATCTGAACGCCATAGACTAAGAGGAGGAAACAGAGATAATCTATGGGGGGATGTGCTGTAGTGTTTCTGTTGTTTGGCTGCAGCTGTGATGCTGTGGGGAGTTCTCAACCTGCGCGCCTGTTACATAACAGACTCAGCCTATGTAATAGAACTAAAAAAGGCAAAGGGCTTAAGCTGCATCGCTGGCTGGTCTGAGGGCGCTGCACACACACATACACACATACACACATACACACACACACACACACAGATAACGCAGCTGTTTCCAGCAGTCACATGCACATTCTGCTGAACGCTGGACCAGTGCTGCAAATCTGAGCTTTCATATTATCAATAGAAGGGGAAAAAAATCCACCGAGATGTAGTAGATTTTCAAGGAGAAACACTTCATTCATTCAGAGCAGAGCACCGCAAGACAATAACATAGAAGACAGAACAAAGGAAAGAAAAAAAGCATGAAACACAATGAATATAACAAGATCTACAGATGTGCACAAAAGAGAATTTGTTTGTCAGGGAGTTGAAAAGACTTGAAAGAGTCACGCTGACACTTGTAAATAAGCTGATTTCACCTTTGAAATTAATTATCTCAGATAGAATGAGGACAGATGTCAGAAAAGTATGGAGTATGTAGATTAGAGAGTGAGGGATCATATGTTTGTGTGTGTGTGTTAGCACTGCATGCAGACACACACTGAGCGTCAGCTGTGTGTCTAACCTGGCTGGTGGTCCCTGAGCTGTCACTTGGGCTGAGCACTTCTCCCTGAGAGGCGGAGAGGACCGACTGTTCAGAGGTGGAGCGCGTGGCGGAGGGGGGCGAGGCGGCACGCGAGTGGGGGAGCGAGTGCAGACTGTCTGTGTCATCTCCCCCTTCATCTTCCTCCTCCTCATCCTCCTCCTCATGTGTGTCCTCTTCGTCTTCTTCCTCCTCCTCCTCGTCCTCCTCCTCGTCCTCTTCCACCACCGGTCTGGCTGTTTCCCTCGTCCCCTGATGACAGAGCACCAGGTCCACCAGGTCCTCTTTCTCCCTGCATGTGTCGGTGGGGATGTTACGCAGCAGCAGGTACTGGCGCAGGTCTTTCACTCGGAGCTGCATGAGCCGAGGCCTCTGGAAGGCCGTGCCACGCAGCAGGTGGCAGGTTGTGCAGCAGCGCAGGTTCTCCTGAAGCACCGAGCACAGGGCGCAGAAACTCTTCTTACAATCACAGCAGATGTGCTGTGGGAGGAAGAAGAGATTGAGAGCAGTCGTGATGTGATGAGCTACACTTTTTGATCTTTTTAACATCATCATTTAAAGGGACAGTTCACCCAAAAATTAAAAAAAAACATAAGTTTCTTCTCAACTGTAGTGCTGCTTATCAATCTAGATTGTTTTGGTGTGTGTTATTTGCCAGAGAGATGTTTGTCTTCTTTCAAATATAATGAAACTAGATGGCACTTGGCTTGTGGTGCTTAAAGCATAAAAAATACATTTGAAAACCTTGTCAATGTCAAGAAATCACGACCCAGTTACTCAAACTAATCCACAGACCTTGTTATGAGCAGTGACATGTCGGAAATATTTTTTTTCTACTGATCTACACCAACTAACCGAATTACTGCACAGGAGGAAGTGTGCATCTACTCATGGACGAGAGACACGTGTTTGTGATAGCGTGAAGTGTAAACCTAGCTAGCTCAGTGGTGCTAGGTGAGCTAACGTTAGATACAGTTGGCAGGTGTATTACAGTAGACTGATAAATAGCACCACAGGTAAGAGGGAAATATGTATTTTTGATTTTGTGGTGAACTGTCCCTTTAAGAAACTTTATTTTTCATAATTTCTAAATAGGCCCTGATGTCTGACTTGTGTCAGCATATTAAACTATTTATCCTCTGTTTCACTTTTGATGAATAAATGAACCATCTACTGAAAGTGATGTGACTGATTAAAGCTCTGATAAATGGGCCACATGATGGAAGTGAAGTCAGTGAATTTGCTGTTTGGACTGATGATAGTAATATTTCATTTGCATCAGAATAATCCATCAGGGCATGGTTTTACTTGCAGGATATTGTTGAGTGGGGCTGGATGATTATTCAAGATTAGATATGATGACTTGATCTATTTGTTATAATTTCACAACATTATTCTGTTAGAAATATTTTTTAATATTCTGTAATTAAAAAACTAACCATATTAATTACTGAGGTTTTTGAGTAAGTCGTTTTGTCTGACTGGACACACCAGGGGAACAAAGATTATACTTGTCATCTGTTTGAATGTTTTATGTTTAATTTTGCAAATTTTGCCACATAGTTGATTTGATTTATTTATTTAAAACATTTAAGATAATAATAATACTAATAAAATAAAATAGAATATGATAAAAAAAACCCTACAAAACAAAAACAAACAATAAATCATGAACAGACTTAAAATAAAAAACATAAATAAACATTTCATGTCTGAAAAGGAGCAGAAAGAAGCAACATGCCTGTCCAGCCCTACCCTCATTCAAAACTATACTAATACATCACAAGTCAAATATTTAATATTATCATTATTTTCCAAAATGTAATGTAGATTAAGCAATTAATTGAAAATGTAACTGACAGATTAACTGACAGTGAAAATATTAATTAGATATCGTAGAGACTGATGTCAGAAAAATAACCAAATTCATATGATCTCCACCCTATCGCCATACAGCCGTATTGTTAGTTGTGTATTTCCTAGAGTCCACTGTCTTTGAGTAGAAACCTAACCTAATAAACCAGCAACACTAGACTCCATCAGCAACAGTGGCTCATATCCTGTGTACTCAGTTATTTTCTGGGACAGAGTAAAGAAAAGAGATACAAACAATCTGTAGCTCCTGGTGATGTTTGACATTTAACAGGCTTAACACCGTCTCCTGATACAGAGCGGCGGAGTAGATTGACACTTCAAATGGGCAGAAAAGCAGGTCAGCCACGGCTGTAAACATTCCTTATCACTTGTACACAAATGTGCTCTGGTCCTCCTGAAGTACATGTGCACTCCAACAGATACTTTTCTTCAATCATGTGTTGTTACTCCCCCGGCAGGTTATTTTTTATTCTGTGAAGATATCACGCTGACACACAGATGTGTGTGTTTCCAGAAAGTCGACCTGCCGTCAGAAAGTCAAGCAGTGTGTGAATGACGATAGAGCGATGTGAAGCGGAGGAGCAGAGAGGAAAGCGGGCACTGCAGCGTTTTCATCAGTGTCTCAGTGTGTCTGACTGCCAGACAGACACACTCTGCCATTAAACTCTGACATGTTCAGCTGTGCAGAGACCCTGAAAATGTCATGATGAATATGAATGGTGCATCCTCTTAAAGGAACATGCCACTGTTTTTGCATTTCTTTTCAAATATTGTGTCTGATTTACAAGGCTGCCGACCATTTTTCAAAAGTTTTTAGGTCAGCTTACAACTTCACGCTTTACTTTTCAATACAGGACCATAACAACACTCCATTATCCATATTATTAATAAAATGTAGGCAAAGGAGCTGAATGTGACATTCAGAGCATTAATATGGCAACAAACAAGATATAGTGGAGTAATGGTGTCCTGAGCAGAGAATAAAGTAACGCTCCCTGTGTGTGTGTTGTAATCTGAGCCTCTTCTTTCTGATACTGTGGTAGATGTTCCAGCCGCACATGCATGTTAATGCATGTGAGTCCCTGGGTATGTATCCCACTGGCTAGCTAATTGGCGCCTCTCTGCACTGCACTCATACAGCAGTTACTGGTGATAACGCCATCCCAACTAATGATGGCGGGACAATGTTTTCATGGAAGTGTAACACCCACCTTTGGTTTCCCTACATTAACAGTGTTAGCTTTGTCAACACTGTTGCTGTTGTAAGCACTGTTCACGCTATTAGCAACGTTAGCTGCTAGCCGCCAGCTCAGCTACCTCCATATTGAGAGCCGCGTGCAGGCAATCCCCGCTCAGACTCTGAATCACAGATACGTCCCATATGTTGCATTTATCTTCTAAGAAACCCCTGTGGCTGATATAATATATGACATTATAAGATTTTTATTACTGATGCAAAATTGTGTGAGCAGACTAGTGAGCTAGTTTTAACTACTTTATCCATTGACGAATTTAAGGGTATCATAAAGAATGTGGTGCTACAGACATGCTTTTTTCCTTGAGAGGACACTATGTGTGAATAGTTGTTCACACATTGTGGATTTTTGTAATATATGGTGTATTTGTTGCATTTTAAATGTGTTTTGATTGGTTGCTACCTCGGCTAAGTCTCTCCTGTAAAAGAGATTTTCAGTCTCAATGGAACTTCTTGGTTAAATAAAGATTAAATAAATAAAATATAAAGTCAGGTAGTTTAGTTCAGTGGTTCCCAATCTAGGGGTTAGGACCCTCAAAAGTGTCACAAGATAAACTTTGAGGGGTCAGAAGCTAAAAAGGTTGGCAATCACTGGCTTAATCTTTAACAGGTTTATTATACTTTTTTTTAAATGGAAAATCCTAATCTGAAAAGTAATGACAATAGTTACAAGATACACGTGGTAGAGTAGAAGTACCATAAATTGGAAAGACCCGACTAAAGTACAAGCAGTACAGTACTTGAGTAAATGTATGTAGTTACTTCCCACCACTACTTTCAAGACATATGTTTGTTTCCATTCATTTTACAGCATATAAATCAGCTTGCAGAGTTTTTAAACTTGCTTGAGTATATTTTCCATCACAGTGAACAACTTGCTGTCTTTATATTCATCACATTATACAAACATAATCGTCCTCTACCTGCCTGCGATGGTCTTAATTGAGCCTGTGTCTTTTTTACCGGCTGTTAGTCTGTTCTAATAATGGCTGTCTGTTCCTGTTATTCCATATCTGTTAGCTGTTAACAGCGTGTTGCTGTAAAGCAGCATGCATGCTTAGCCAACCTTCCCTGTATGAATACAGAGTAAAGAACATGAGCTATTCCTCAGCAGTGATTTAACCCTGAAAGAGAGACAAAGTGATATAAATAATAATTGAAATGACACTTCTTGTATTTCCGTGTGAACCACATGGATATTATTTCAGAGGGTTTTGCATTAAAAAGGTTGGTTCAGTGAATGACTCAGTAATTATGAATGTCAGTGTTTCCTTGAATGCACCATGAGGAAGAGTCCCTGCTCAGAACTGCACTCAATGATTACATAATTGTGACATAGAAAAAAGTAAAAGCTGACTAAACATTGGCTGTGAGGGATTATTCCAGCACGTTTCCAGTCTGCAAGTTGAAACCATGCAGTCCGAACATCTAGTGCACAATGTACAGTGAGTAAGACATGCACTGTATGAAACACTTTTCATTATCTACTATCAAACTCATTACTATCACTCCCACAAGTCTTGTTTACCTTGCGTCTGAAGACAGAGAAGGCCAGTCCACAGGCCTTGCATAGCTGTCCGGCGCTCCCTGAGCTGGTGGGGGGGTAGGTGGAGTACCCAGCGCTGGGGGCGAAGCGGAAGGGCCCCGCCCCTGCTCCGAACCCCGGCTGCTGCGCCCGCACCGTGCCCGTGCCCATCACCTCGTTCAGCAGCCCACAGCATGACGCCCACATGGACGATGCCCCCGCCTACGGAGTACACACAGAGAAACACACACACACATTTAAAACTTTTAGAGAAATCTCTGACAGAAGTTTAGATGGATTATTGAAACATCTCTCCGGCATCATCAGTGACAGACGTGAATATCTTCTTTATGAATATTTATGTCTTGTGCATAATTTACTACACATCTCCTCAAAATTCAGTCTGCCATATCTGGAATCGCTGGAGGGATATATGCCATTCTTCTGAACAAAAATCCCTTATTTGGTTTTTTGATGATGGCGCGGAACGTCTGTGTAACACACTGGCCCAAGTCTCCTATGGGTGTTTGATTATATTGAGAGCTCGTGACTGTAAAGGTCGCAGCATCACATCTTTTTCATACTGATCCAACCAGTCTGTGAGTTATTGTGTGCTGTATGCAAATATTTCATTCAAGTTTTTTCCTTCAATTGTTCAACCATCTGTATAACATTAAATTATTGGAAAACTATTTGTATTTATACTATGACACTGATTTGAAGCGTATCAGCTAGTCCTTTGCTCAATAATATCAAAAATGGCTTAAAGGGAATCTTCTGTATTTTTTAACCTGGCCCCTATTTTCTGATGTTTCTGTGTCTAAGTGACTAATGGGAACATAGGTTTCTGAAACTGGTCCAGTACAGAGCGAGACCGCTGCAGCCAGCAGTTGCTAAACAGGCCGTAATGTAACCCTTTGGGGCAATAGTGCATCGTCTATGTACATCCACTAAGGGCCCATGTAAATGGCGTGTTTTTTGCTACCTCAAATCCATTTTTGTTAATGTAGCTATTACGTAGGTAGGCGCTCAAAAGCAAGGGCAATGCCGTCGTGGCACACAAGCGTTCAAAGCACCTGTTTTTAAGGGCATGATGGCTGCAACGTGCACCACAAGTCATGTGATGAGGAACAACCAATCACAGCTGGCAGATATCTTTCCCCTCTTCCATTAATATCAGAAGAAGACATTTAGAAGAAGACATTTTAATGCAGGGCTACTCAGAGCTTTATATCTGTCCTATGGCTTTATACACACTTAAAAAACAACACCTGCAAAAAACATGAACTCTGCACTTGGTATTTCTGGTAAGTAGGCTATGATATGGTGCTGGTGATAGTTGCTTAGCAACATCAGATGCAACGTCTCTCCACACCCTTGCAAATTTGTCACAGAGTAGGCACATGAGTAGCAGCCAGTGCCCGACCTCACATTTTTTCAGGCTTATAAAGCGACACGTGTTTTGGCCTTTAAGCAACAGTGCTGCAGTTGGGTTGCAACATAATCTTTGAGGCAAAATTTAATCATCAAGGTACGTCCACTAAAACTGGACAAGCTGGCTCAGATTGTTATATGTTAAAGTGTCTAGAAACATTATGGAAAGGAACCTAAAGAGAAACATTTTTTCCTAACTTTTTGTTAGGGTCTGTTTGCTACTGTCTTCCTGCAGCAACTCTTGTGAGACTTCAGAACGAGACCTCCCCTTGAGTGAGACTTGGTTAGACACAATAACAAGCAGACTGGATCGAGCAAAAGGTAAACAATCTGAGGGAAACAGAAGGTAAACAATCTGAGTCTGATAGTGGCAAAAACAGGCACATTTAGTGGATGCACACTGAAGATGCGTAATTGCCCCAAAGATTACATTGCAGCCTATTTTGAGGCTGCCAGCCACAGCACTCTCGCTCAATACTGGACCAATTTCAAAGATTGTTGTTGCCATTAGTCACTTAGACACAAAAACATGGGAAAATAAGCTCCAGGTTGAAAAATACAGAAGTTCCCCTTTAAGGAGAAGGAGATAGTCTCCTGTGGTATGGATTCAGAGAGAAAATGAATGGGAAGCAAAGAGAGAAGGGGGGAGATACTGGGCAGCAGCACATTATTGAGAGTGCTCTGTAGCAGTCTTGAGGTTAGAGATAATTAGACAGAAGTAGACACTAAAAGCTCCTATTAATGACAATCTCTAAAGAGATCTACGAGTTAAATTTCTCAGTCACTGCGTTATTTAGTACAATTTGATAAACAAATTAGCCACACAGAGGCAGAGGATGTGTCAGCAGTCTCAGCCACACAGCAAATATCATGTTGCCTTCCTACATCCCGAGGAAACACACAAACCAAGTTAGTGTACTTAAGTTAAAGTGTGTCAAATGTGTTTGCTGACCACAAGACAGGCCAGACACAGGGAGCAAAGATGGCGTGATGGGAGCCACGGCTCCTTGGAAGCATACTGATGAGAGGAGGAGGGAGGGGGAGGACGGCGAGGAGAGAATATGTCTTCTGTTGTTCCCCCAGCCTGCAGAATCAATAGCTGACATGAGCATAATGTAAGCCCTCTGTGGTTCCCGGCTCGATGCGGAAAACAATGGAATTCACAGGGTCCTGCCACGTCTCTTCTTAAGGCAGTGCTCCGCTCCGACTTGTCACAAACACCCTGTGATCTGACCTCACCCATCTGCTTAGGGATTCGTTATGTAATCTTAGGAGCGAGGCACTATATGTACTGTAGAGTCACGGCAAGAAGGAGGAAGTCCCTGCTGCAGTGAAACAGTCAGGATGGATTTCTAATGGCTAAATCTGTCATTAAACTGGATCATCACCATCACTTTAAATAATTTGTTTTGTCTAACCAGCAGCCCAAACCCTGAAAATATCAAATTTACAGACATATAAAAAGGGGAAAATCAGCAAACCCTTGAATTTGAGAAGCAGGAAGTGGTGAATGTCTGGTATTATTGTTTCATAAATGCCTTAAAGGTTTAATAAATGACCAAAAATCATTGTGAATACTTTTCTGTAGAGTTTCAGCACTAATATTTTGTGAATTTCTCATCTAATCCTCAGTTAAATCCACCACAAGCAGCTCACTTTATCGTGACCGACTCCTCCAGCTTCATGTGCACAATAAAACCATGATGCATAACAACTTGAATTATTTGCCCGTGGCGTAAACTTGACCTGATGTTCAGCTGCTAAAAAGTCTGCCGGGTTAGATGCAGCCTCTCCTCATATGGGTGTGAAAGCCACTAAAAGGGAATATTTACTGCATTCTCTGAGGATGAGGAGCCGCTGCAGTCTGGCCACCAAAAGTCTTATCTGGCTTTGAGCCAGCAGCACGAGGTCCCTCTGTCACTTCAATTAGCACACTGTAAGCTCTGCAGGCAGGGAGTCCCGAACAAACAAGAGACAAGTGCAAACATCACATGTGCTACTTTGTTTTGATTTTACTTTTATCTTTTATATTCTCTCGACAGCTCCATCACTCGAGATAAACCTCTGGGAGCACTGTGTTTGTGTTATTCCAATCACCTAGGACACTCTTGGGTGTCAGGTCTGAGCCAAATAATTGAGATATTTCTCACACTGCTGCTGGATCCTCAACATCAAATAGGGTCAGAAAACAGCCCAGCCCCAGTGTGCACACAGACAAACACAAACACGGAGAGGGGGAGAGCAGCACACAGTTACTGAGGCACAGATTTAAATAGAAAAATCCAAAAGGGAGGAAAATCAGCAATGTTCAGGCTTCGTGTGGTGCCGTGATCTGACCTCATAAAATTACTTTTGAGGATAAAAAATTTCAAAATTGCATCCACACAGACAAGTGTAACCATATGGGACGGGAGCCTGGATGGGGCCTAAATGGGTCATGATGTGGGGACTGGACTGTTTAACTAGAACTGAAAACCAGTCTGACACCAAGAGAGAAAACAACATCAAGTAACTTTGTGTATCTACTGATTTATCTGAAAAGTTGCTGCTGGTGGTTTGTATTTCATCAACAAATGAAAACAATGACGACAGTAACGTGATTAAAGGGGCAATGCACTGATTATACACATGGAGTTCAGCCATCACAAACAGTACTACACAGCCTGTGAAAACAGTTGTAATGTCTTTTGTGGTTCTGGTGGAGATTTCTAAAGTCGGACAAAATAACTCTGATGATTAAGCTTCATTTATAATAGCACGAGACATCGTGGCACAGGCCTCTGTAGCTGGCACACAAGCTACAAACATGATCAGAAGCGTTTATGTGCAACACGTTGTTTGTTACACTATGCTCCAAAACACCAGGTGGTACACAAATGAAATATTCTGATGATAAGCAGGAAGTCAACGAATGTTACCAGAAGAACGTGACCGAAAAAGTAGGCTGCCTCGCAACGGTAGTAACCACCAATGTACCGCCAAACATTGCATTTGTGTACTGTAATTATAACTGTCACCTACCCCAAAGTCAAAATGATTTTATATCACTTTGTCTCCGCCACTTTTTTCCCCAGTGTGTTGGAATATTTGTCCCCAATGATTGAAAGGAAATGGCCATTTTAGAATGAAAATACAGACAGTGCTGACTGACCCTTGTGCCGACAAGAAGTCCAGTGTAGTTTTTTAATCCACAAAACTCGTTCGGGGTATCGCCAGAATAACAGCTACACTTGAAGTGCATGGAACCCACATTTTGAAAATATAATAAAACTCCACTAATGCATTTCAAAAACATCAGAACAGCTCGTCCGTCGTAATCCAATTGACTTGAAAAGTTGTAATTTACTCCACTTTTATAACATAATTTCTCACCATGGTCAGTTAGCCAGCCCTGCAGGCGTGCTGTGTTTACACAGTGTTTACTCATTCTAAAGTGGCCATTTCCTTTAAGGCCATTTAACTGTCCCTGTGGTCTCTCAGTAAAGAGTCATACAGATGTCTTTACGAGTGAACCTTTTCGGGCAGTTCTCCCTGTTGAATTGAAAAGCACAGCTCTCTCAGTGGGCGCCTAGTTAAAAAAATTTGGAGGTGCATAACCTAGCGCCACGACAACTTCCAGCATTGACGCTCAACGCGAAAGGGGTGATTACATCATTTTCTGGTACATGAGGCTCCTACCAAGACCCTCTGGTGGGCATAAACCATATTTTGGGTTCATTTCGGCTGATGACGTTATTCCAGCTTGGATTTGAGACAAATTTTTAACAAGAAGCCTGCATTACAAACAG